TCCCTTCCCCTCCCCACAACAGACACCCTGTGAGGTGGGTGGGGCTGAGAGAACTCTGACACAAACTGCTCTTTTTCAAGGACAGCTGTGCCAGAGCTTGTGACTGACCCAAGGTCACATCAGCAGGTGCAAGTGGAGGAGTGGGGAATCAAACCCGGTTCTCCCAGATTAGAGTCCGCACACTTAACCACTACACCAAACTGGCTCTGAGCAAGAGATGAGGCCAGAGCTGTGCCGATCTCAGAGAAAGGCAATCTTCATGCGAGGTCTCACCTGCACTGTGTACACTGCGGATCCACACTGAATGGCTGCGAACGTCAACAGCAGGATGTCTACAGAAAACACTTGGGACCACATGCAGACGTCGCTGGCGGGCGTACTGCCGAATTCCTTCCACCCCAGCCCTGAATTACATCCAGTCACCGTAAAGGAGAGCCAGTTTGGGGTAGTAGTTAAAGGGTCGAATGCCCACCGTGCCCCAGAAGTTTGGATGATCCTGGACCCCTCTGTTGTAGCGAGGATAAAACGGGGAAAGGGAGACCAACGTCTGCCATCCTGAGCTTCTTTCACAAAGAGCAGGAGAACAAGGTGGTGAAGAAATAAATATAAAGACAGCAGACCCAAGGAACACTGGACTGATTGACATCATGGCTAGGTGGCTGATAGGTTGCAGGGGCGCTGCCATCCCACCTTGCAACATTATCAATTGTTATGTCGGTATCCCATAAAAAGAAGCATATTCAGACCAGCATGACAACAGTCACTGCCCCGGGGAGCGCCTAGTAGTGTGTTTCTGTTGAAGCCATGCAAGCGTGGACCTGATCAGCGACTGAAAGGCAAGCCCACAGAGAGTTCGACACAAACAGCCCTGAGTCCTCCGGAGAAAGAGTGGAGTGAGGAGCACAACAAAAAATGAGTGATGCAAGAGCTGATGCAATCGTTGCTCTAAGCCACTGGATGATATTTCTTGCCACAGAAAGCACGTCAGCATGCCTTTCACGCCTGGTCACTTTTAAGCCGTTGCAATGACTAACCGATCTGGACAGATCTGTGTGATCTCTAAGAAATCAAGTCCCGGAAGAGCCCAGCAGCAGCCAGCCGGCTTGCAACGCTGCTGTTCTGCCACCACCGATGTGCTTTTAAAAAAAAACAAAAAAACAACACACAGCCTGGCAGGCACCGTTCACACACTGATACCGTGGGTGGCTACCTGACCCTACACAGCGCACTCCTGGCGAGGAGGCAGCCCCCTTTGGCGTCTGCAGAAGAGAAAAGGCAAGGTCTTATCAGCACAGCAGCCAGTCACTGCCAGATCACCCGGCCCGCGGCCTCCTATCTGAAGCCTGCTGTGTCCTTGGAACCCAGATAAGCGAGGATTCAAAAGGGGGAAGGGAGAGAGAATCAAACCCATGAGACGACAAGAAGCACTCTGAAGGGAGACTTTACCTGGAAGCAAGCGATGCCAAATGAGATCCCAGCGACAATGCTCAGTTTGGACTCCATTGTCTGTGTCACCATACTGAAGCAACCCTGTGGGGGGAGGGAAGGGGGGGAATAATACACCAGTGAGCTTCCCGACAACATCTGCCTGTGAAAAACCAGACACATTCCTGGCCCTCAGATCTGGACAAATGATTCAGGCATTGTGAGTTCGCTCTGCAGCAAAATGTCCTTTGATCAGACCCAGTGCAGTTTTCAATTTGACTCGCAGGAGCACAGAGCTGGGAAGAACCCCAGGGGTCGTCTAGTCCGGCCCCCTGCACAAGGCGGGGAATTCCCAGCTCCCAGTGACCCCGAACTTGATGCCCAGAGGCACGAGGGGCAAGCTGAGCCAGTATTAGTGCTTTGACCTCAGCAGAACTTCTTCTTCTTCTTGGAAAACCACTGGCCCAGCAGATAACAACAGCAGAGCTTCACAGGAGAAGAGTTTCCACACCAAAACAACTCCCACCACCAATGCTCCCTCTAAGCCGTGGCGTCTTGTGAGCAAAAATTCTACTATTGGCATTAAAGTTGTGAGCAAGCTACTGCAGAAATTAGTTTGCTCTGGAGCCCTCCTTCCTGAGCTAAGACAAAAACGTGTGAGCCGGAGGCTAACAAAACTGTGAGCTAGCTCACACCAACTCAGCTTAGGGGGAGCACTGCCCACCACGGCACCCCGCCAGCCTGCTCATCGGCAGTAATTGCCAGTTCCTCCTCCAGGAAAGAAGCAAGCACCTCAGTTCTTGTGCCCACTGAGAAGTTATGGCTGCCAGCTGCTAAGCCCCTAGTCGGAACAAAACAAACTCCTCTGGTTTTCTGTCCCTACCTCCACAACGTAGCCCGACCCTCCACGGGAAACCAAACCTACGACAGCAGCCTTGACTCTTTGCACCTCTTTCCAGGACTCGGGGAGGGGGACACCGCTTTGGGGTTGCTTACTTTATCGAACACCTTTCCCTTGGCTCTGTCCGGATCTTTCATATCTGCCATCGTACAGTTCAACTGGGTCTTACAGCAGCTTGCAGGTATCCCTTTCTCTTTGAAGTACTCAGTCTTCTCCCAATCTGTGAAGTTTGCAACACCACAGCAGTGTAACTGCGGGGAGGGGGGGGGAAGCAGAGGGGGTGTAACATCGTGCATCTGGAATACGCCGCTCTTACATTCCTGGCCTTATTTTTTTAACTTTTTATCCCTCATGCTTAGGGTTTACAACTCCAGGTTGGAAACACCAGAAGATTTGGGGGGTGGAGACTGGGGGGAGCAGGGTTTGGGGGAGGGGAGGGGCCTCAGCAGGGTATGGTGCCCTAGGGTCGACCCTCCCCTCAGCAGCGTATGGGGCCCTAGGGTCGACCCTCCAAAGCGGCCATTTTCCTCAGGGGAACGGATCTTGGTCATCTGGAGGTCAATTGTAATAGCGGGAGATCTCCAGGAGAAACCTGGAGGGTGGCACTGGCAACCCTGATTGCACCACAGTCCACAGAGCGTTGCACACGGATTCTTCTGATGACCAATGCGCATATAGTAGAGGGGGGGAAAGGGAGAGTTCAGAAAGTCTGAACAACTCGGAACCAACAACAACATTCCTGCAGCTTCTGTGCTGCCTAACCTTGTTCATTTGCAGAGATAGCGTCGCTTTTTCTAACGCCTCATTTATTATTATTATTTTTAAATTTTATTTTTCAAGTTTTCAATACAAAAACAGGAATAAAGTATACATGATAAGCACTCGGTGGAGTTACATTAAACGTTATTCTCAATCTATTTGTAAACTTTTTGCCATTTTTGGTTAAAATTACATTCTGTCTTTCCTGATAACAACATATTCAGCTTCTCCATTTCTGCGATCTCTAAAATTTTCATAACTATTTCCTCTCTACTCGGTATTTGATCCGTTTTCTAGCACTTTGCGACGAGAATCCTCGGTATTGTGAGCATATATAGTATGATACAGTATATATAGTATGATAGTTTTCCTAACGCCTCATTTTGAAGAATACGCCCCCCGCTCTGTAACTCCCAGCACTTCCCCGAAAGGAAAAGGAGCACGCACGATACGCTGGACGGGACACACAGCCCCACTAGCGACGCCACATAAGGAGACAGCAGCGGGTACTCACTGTGCTCTGGATGGTATCAACTGCCCGGCTTTGTTCATCCGTGATCCCCTTGTACTCCTCCACGGCACGCTCATAGTTTGCCCTAAAGCTGTTCTTAATCTGCAGGGGGGAAAGAAGATACCAATCACACTTCTTTAAAGAAATATTATTCAGCTATATGACCGTTAATGGGTTAAATCTGGCACGACTGAAAACAATAGGGCTGCCAAGTCCCCCCGGGGGGCGTGGAAACACCCGCCCCAGAGGCCCGTTCCCCGCCAGCGGCGGATCGGGGCCTGGGGGGAACCCCGCCCCGACGTGCGCGTCACCAGGAAGTGACGTTAGGACACCGAGCACGCTGGGGGCGGGGCCACGACCCTC